TTAACACCCACCAGCAGAAACACCCACCTACCCAACTGACAGACGGAATCTCACTATGCATCAGCCAATCTCATCCTCCCCTCTCTCATGACAAGGCGTGCACGAGTCCTATCATGAAAAAAGGTTCATTGTGCGACCTGAGTAACGCGCAGTAATGGGGTGTCTGCAATGGTAACTGCGTCATAGTTACAGTTAAAGTAATTAGTTAGATTACTCGTTACTAAAACAAGGAAACGGCGTTACTTTCAACGCCGTTAGTCCCATCACTGTCGGGGATTAATAAATTATTATTGTTACTTCCCCACTACTTCCCCCACGTCAGGACTGCTACTTTATGCACTATTTGCACCATTCGCACTACTGTTTGCACTGCATACATCTGAACTGCTACTGAGTTTACTCTGCCATATGCATCATTTGCACCACTGTTTGCAATGCAGACATCATGACTGCTACTCAGCTCATGCTACCATCTGCATTATTTGCACTATAGCCACTATACTGTGCAGTAATAATAATTGCTTTAAATGTTACAGTTACATCGTTTACATTAAGTGTTTGCACTAGTCATCCATCAGGACCACTGTAATGTTACTTTGTAAAAATTTAGCCGTACACTTCCCATCTGCACATTTGTAATCTTCTTTAGTATTTAAACTAGTTCGTTGTTAGATTTTTAGTTATCCGAGCAGATACCTATATTTATTTTTATATCTTAGGTTTTTATTTCTATTTTATTTTATTTTTTTAATGCTATGGTTCATTATATTTTATTATGCACCGTGGGGTTGAGAGGACTGCAATATCATCTGTGTTATATGTTTACCATGTTGCACATTTGACAATAAAGTTGAGTTGAGTTGATTGTATTGAAGAGCATAAGACCGTAGGAATGCCAGATGACTATAAGTGTGGAATGACTCTCAGCCTCTCATCAGTTTGACATCCCATTGTCTAAGTGTCTGTAGCATATTAGGATGCAACTCGAAGCTCGGTGGGAGGTCAGTGGAATCTGTGATAAAATAAGGCTTAACACACAGCTGACATGTAGCCTCACCACAACTCGCCCCTTGACGTTGAAGCCCTCGATGACCGCTCCCTGGATGTTGGAGTTGGCTGCAGGAATGTTGTTCTGGGTTATTGACTGCTGCTTCTTTGGCTGAGCCAAAGTGTGGGTGAAGAAGTTAAACTTGACAGCAAAACAGTCCATACACTCCTTAATCTTTCTACAGCGGAGGAAAACACACGACGATGTAAAACCGGAGACAAGATGCACATCCTAGGCGATATGAGTGACATGAAGGTGGGCGGCACATTAACTTACTTTGTAAAGTAGGAAGTGGCTTCTAAGTCTGTGTCGTGAGGTTTGAGCTTGTTCTGGACAAACTCTAAGTCACTGATGTCCTTCAGTTCTGGCATTCCTGCTGAAAGCATCTGGAAAATCCACATCCTTATTATCCACACATTCTCAGACAGACCATCAGCATTAACAGAGGCTTGCAAACCCTTTTAACCTTTTCACACTTTGTAGAATAGAATAGAATTCAGCTTTATTGTCATTATATTGTCAGAAGTACAAAGCAACGAAATTAACGCTCTGTATTAGGGATGCATGATATAATCGGCCCCATATTGGTATCGGCCT